TGCTCACAACCACACTGGGAGGCATAGGTCATGGATTATATCATGGAGTCGTCACACCACACTGGCAAAGGTAGATAGCGGTTTATCTCGAAATCTTCATAACCACAGCAGGAGGTATAAATAGTGGATTATCTCACAGAATCTTTATAGTCAGACTGGGAGGTGTAGAGACTTCTGTATTCTTCAGTTTTACCCTGAAATGAAGTCTCAGGGAAGTTCTGGAAGTTGCCCAAGAGCACTAGCCGGAGGCCCTAAGCTAGCTCTGCAGGCCCCAGGGCCACATCATTAGCAGCTCCCTTGCCCTGGCCCCAGGAAGGAAGCATTCTTCATCAGCACAGCCCATTGAGCCCAACCCCCAGAACAGGAGCCCTCAGAAGTTAGTGCTGGAGCAATGTCCTTTTCACAATGAATCCTGGGCTGCAGGGGGCATGTTAAGGAGAAGGAGGAATCTGGAGAAGAGCAAGCTTACTACCTGCTCCTTTGAAGGAATCCTTTCCTTAAATGACAACACAATATTTTCTCTGATCAAAAGTTGTTTTCCTGCGAGTTAAGCTGGGGGAGCTTTGTGGCTGTCCCAACTTCCTGCACACTCTGCACCGTGCCTTTGGGGACGTCATGATGCATCTGCTCTGCAGCAGACCAGACTTGCTGCCCTGGGGAGTCAGGCTCTTCCATAATCCACAAAGGTGATCATACAGATAAAGACCTGGAATTGCTGGTCCCTGGTCTGTGAGAAATGCTCCTGGGCTGTTGGTTGCAAACCCAGGCACTCTTGACAGCTGAAACTCGTTGTCAGTTGGGGAGGAGAAATTGAGATGTCAGAGTCTTTAGCCAAATCCCTGGGAGATTAAGGTTGTCTGTGTGTGGAGGCAGGAAGAGGTAAACAAAGGACTGTTTTCAACTGATTTATCTGAACTGAGGCCACATCTGCATTATCCTGGGATTAATGACATTTTGAACATGTTTAATCTCAGAAGCTATTTTATCGTGTAGCCTTGACCCTGAATGTTCATGCTTGAGCGATCACGTTGTAAGGTCTTTGGCCTCTGAAGCCTACCTTACCCTGCACATTGTCAGAGACTTCGGCCCCTTCTCCTGCCCTCCCCAGGTGGAGTATGGCACAGATCCCAGAGCTCCTACACACTCAGTGTGGATGCCAAGCACAGGAGGCGAGCATACAGTTCAGAGAGGCCTCCCAGGCCCCTGCCACAGAGCAGAATGGCTCATCACACAGTTGCTCTGCCTGTGCTCACTAGGGACAAAGGCGCAGCTTCTCTGAGGCTCAGCACTGTGGACAGTGATGTTCAGCCCACCACCCCTTTCTCAGCTTATCTGCTGAGAGGCTCCAGGTGGAATCTCAGGCACCTGTGAACTACATTAGGGACCTTGAGTGGGTTTTCTCCCTTTTTCCTGGTGTCTAGACCCTCATTTGCTATTCTTGCACCCCTCTACCTGTGAGGGTGGCCCTGGACAGTACCTATAACAGGATTTGGAGGTTACAAGGGCCCTCTTGCATTCCTGACAAGGAAGAAGGTGAGAAAGAAGAGAATACAGAATAAAAGGAAAGACAAGCAGTTGCAGTGAAAGCGGCAGGAACCAAAAAGGAGAGAAATGGTGGTGTGGTCATAAGCTGGCCCAGTGTTTGGAGACACTGCCATTGCAGGTGCCTCATCCCACAGCACGGCCTGGCCCAGCCAGGGCACCCACTCATTCCTGCGAGTCTGCACGTGAACACAGACACACGCTTAAACACACAAACAGTACAGCTGGAAACATTCCTACCCCACAGACAGGCAGCAGCAGGTGACTCTTCTGTGCTTGGGATGGAATTCTGCCAGCATGCTCTTAACGAAAGGAAAATTTATCTCTTGCCAAGCTCAACATTTAGAACTGCACCTGGTATATAGTCTGTGGCATGTATTTGTTCAGTAGATAAGAAATGCTTATGACCAAAGGCATACTTCAGTTGGGTAGATGGTGAACTAGCAAATATGTCTAGTTCCAGACACAGTGAGGCAAGTGTTTCAAGAGGTTACAGAGGAATGAGGAGAGAGGCTGACCAGAACAGACTTAATGCAGGAGGTGGTACCTGGGGGCCCTGGTGAACCAGCAAGGAGGATTCTAGAACAAGATATCCAAGCTCTTGTCGCCTCTTTTTAGCTGTGGCCACAGCCTCCTTCCTAGCTTCCTCCTAGCCTCTCATCCCTCTGCAGTCAGACTGACTCTCCATAGAACCTCCAGAGTGAGCCCATGGTTTAAAACTCCCACAGCTCCCCATTATGGACAGAAAAAGAAAAAAGACAGAAAAGACCCTTCCTCAGGGCTGGTCTACTTAACTCCTCCTCCTGCCCCCACCCCTAGCCGGGAAGATTGTTCTTCAGACCCCAACCCTGAAGGCACCCCTACTCCCACTCACCAGTGTTAGGCCCTGTGTCCACATAGCCCTTTGTACATTTTAGCATTTTCCAGTTTCTACCAGTTACTTGCTTGTATCTTGTCTCTCCAACTAGACTTTGAGCTTTTTGAAGGAACAATTTGTTGTTTGTTTTCCCACCTCAAATATAAGGCAGTCCTTGCCCACAGCAAACACTGAATGAATGGAAAGAAGAAAGGTGAAACAGGAGAATAGAAAAGCTGGGCTCTGGCTAGGAATAGAAAGTAGGGCTGGATTGTACACTAGGAAGTTTTAGTAATTTCAGCAATTCTGCCTGTTGGATCAGGAGTAGAAGAGAAAACACTGGGAGCAAGCAGTGACGGCTGAGGGTCAGGAGCAAGCAGGAGTTCCAGGTTAGGAACAAAAGTCAGACAAGGACCTAGAGAAGGGCCTCAGAGGCCGGAGGGATGCCACAGGAGGACAGCTGCCCCATCCCCCAGGAGAGGATGTGCAACCATATCAGAGCTGCAGGAGTGAAGCAGGTTCGGGACCAGGCAATGCCTTGGGATTTGGGGTTGGGTGGTTGGGAGGATGGAGAGTGGTGTCATCTCGTGGCTGGTTCAGGAACCGGCTGACAAGACAGAGGCAGAGGCCATTTGAGCTAAGGGTAGAGGAGGAGACCTTAGGGGACAGTGAGGCTCTGTGGAGACTTCTTTTAAGCTCAAGCTGTGGAAGACCCACGCATTCTGCAAAGCTGCAGGAAAGACATCAGTGGGAGAGACTGAAGAGTCAGGAACAGGGTAGGATGAGTCCGAGAGGGGGAGCAGGATTCCCAGGGGGCCAGTTGGGTGGAGGCCCCAGGGAGCAGCCAGAAAAAGGAGTAGAATCCATCCTGGCTGCCAGGGCCAGGGGAGGTCCTGGGTGTGTGAGGCTGAAGACTCCTCACCCCCAGCAGGAGACTGTAGCTTACAGAGCAGTGGCTCCCCACCCCCTTTTCCCTCCTTGGTGACCAGGGGACTAAGGGAAAAGAATTCCAGCCTGAACTGGAAGCAGAAACAAAGGCAAAGCGAATACTGTCCTCTACACACCAGGGCAAGGGGTGGAATACATCAGGCCATGGAGAACAATGACATGATTCCTCCTGACGTCTGCATGTGTTGCTGTGAAATGGAGCTGTTGTCACTCGGTTGACTCAGCCACACTGTGGAGAAAGCAACCGAGGAGAGGTGCCAGGTGGATGGAGATCAGTTTCGGCTTTTGTTTTATCCTGTGACAGGCAAACATCCAGAAGCAGGCTCACGGAGAACCTTGGGTTCTATGCTTTTGATGTACCTGTAAGAAACCACTTATTGGCCAGGGGAGGTGGCTCACCCCTGTAATTCCAGCACTTTGGGAAGCTGAGGCAGGTAGATCGTTTGAGCTCAGGAGTTCAAGATCAGCCTGGGCAACATGGGGAGACCCCATCGCTACAAAAAATTAGCTGGGTGTAATGGTGCATGACTATAGTCCCAGCTATTCAGGAGGCCAAGGTGGGAGGATCACTTGAGCCTGGTAGGTGGAGGTTCCAGTGAGCCTTGATTGCACCACTGTACTTCAGCCTGGGTGTCAGAGTGAGACCCTGTCTCAAAAAAAAAAAGAAAAAAAAAAGCTTCTTATTTAATCCAGAGATTTCCTTTTTCTATTGATGAAGGTAATAAATTCTTATTGTAGAAAATATGAAAATACAGAATTGTTAAAATGTAAGAGGAGGGGAATCACCCACAATTTACCACACAAAGATAAGCACAGTTAATGTGGAAGGAAACATATGGTGTCTTTTTGTTTTTTGTTTTTTTGATACGGAGTCTTGCTCTTATTGCCCAGGCTGGAGTGGAATGGCGCAATCTCTGCTCACTGCCTCCCAGCTTCAAGCGATTCTCCTGCCTCAGCCTCCCAAGTAGGTGGGGCTACAGGCACCCACCACCACGTCTGGCTAATTTTTGTATTTTTAGTAGAGACGGGTTTTTGCCATATTGACTACATTGGTCTTGAACTTCTGATCTCAGTGATCTGCCTGCCTTGGCCTCCCAGAGTGTTGGGATTACAGGCATGAGCCACCGTGCCTGGCCAACATATGGTTTCAAAGGCACTATTTCTTTTCTCTCTATAACATTAAGGAAAGCAACTGTGGCCAGTTTTTGGTGTTACTCTCTCCACAAAGGGAAGGTTATACTCACAGTTTTTAGAAGACAAGAGATCAATAGTGTGTCTGCAGCATTTGAGCAGGAATCAGGTAGTATGTACTGGTCCAAAATGACAGGATTATATTAAAGAAATTTTACCTATTTGTGTACTTATCTCCTTCCAGAAAGGATTCCTAGGAGGAAGTTGGCTTTAAAGTACAGACCGACCCTATAGAAGCAGTTGCATTTAATTTTTTGTGGCTCAGACTAGAGGAGCATAATCTCTCTGATATATCTTTACAAAGAAAACAAAGTCCCCTAAAGAAAGTAATCCTCTCACCAGGGGGGCTCCCAGCCACCTTACAACCTGAACCAAAGCAGTAATGTTCTCTGTGTGGGAACCGAAAGGGTGAAACCGAAGAGGAAACAGAACTGTTTCTATAACCTTGTGCCTTTACTCACAGAAAAGAATCTGCTGCCTGCAGCAACAGGGCCTGGAGCCGATGGGCAGCCCGCACCGCCCTGGATCACCGTCACTAGGCAGAAGCGGCGAGGAGCCTTGGACCAGCCAACCAACCAGGAAGACAAGCCTGGGGCACGGACCGCGAAGTCTGAACTGGGAAAGCAAGCCAAGGTGCACGAGAGAGCCCAGGTGCTTAGAGCAGACACTTTCCATTCTGTGGGCGCAGGAGAGAGTAGCCAGCTGGGGCAGGGGCAGGGACCCGTAAGGACCACAGGTCCTGCATGGGCGTCACAGGCACCGTTACCTGTGATGGTTGGGGATGTGTGGTTGAGAGCCAGTGAAGCAAAAGAAATGACTTGCCAAATTGTAACCTCCATAATGGAGCATTCTGCCTGCCTTTGCCTATGCTGGGCTGTTGGGGATGCAGAGAAGCACGTGAATCACTTAGGCAGTGCAGACAGCTCCCTGCCTCCTTGGCAACACAGCAGCTCCGCATCTAGAAAAATGGAAGGAGGTTAAAATAACTTCGGAGTTAGACACACAGCGATGATGTCAACAGATCCATCCCAGCTAACTGCGCTGTGAGGAGCGAGCCCTGTTCTTTGCTGCTCCACTGGCCACATGCTGGAGCTCCTCATTCCTTACCTGGGGCTGCAGGGCTGGAGCCTGTATTTCCATTTTGTACTCTGAACTGAAGGCAGCTTTTACCAACCCAAACAATATGCCCAGAATCAGGCCGACTCGCAGTTTTTGTATCCCCAGTAGCACCGTGATAAATCCGTGTGTTTCAGCCATGTGGGGAAGAGAGCCTGAGCCTGCAGTAGGACCTGCTTCCCTTTGCTTTAACCGGAACCTCAACTCTACCAAACCTTGAAGACCCTCATGCAGGCATAGGGAATTTAGAAAACAAATATTAACCAGTTTGGGACATCTATAACTATACCAACTGTCATAAAAATCACAAAACCATTTCTAAACAAATCATCTTGACTTTCAAATGAAACCCCTGCCATCTGGCACTGAGACCAGGTGTGGGGACAAGAAGGAAGCCGTGATGCACGTGTGTGCCAGGATAAGGCTGCATGCTGGTCTGAGTGCCAGCATCTGACCACTCCGTGTCAGTGAGTTGACACCAGGGCCCTCCCGAGAAAGTAGCAGCAGCACAAGGCATCTTGGGCGAGCAGCCTTGCGGCTCTTCATTTTGTTGTGTTTGCCCCTGTCTGAATCACTGGTGACTTGGCAGCATGTGTCTTGTGTCCCAACAGGAGCCTGTGAAGCAAGCTGACTTTGTCCGCAGCAAGTCTTTCCTGATAACCCCTGTGAAGCCCGCTGTGGACCGGAAGCAGGGGGCAAAGCTCAACCTCAAGGAGGGGCTGCAAAGAGGAATCTCATTGTCCCATCAGAACTTGGGTATGAAATCCTCAAGCATGACCACATACTTTGAAATCATTTTCTTGGGTCATTCCTGCAGTTTGGGTTTTGGTTTGATTTTTACGAATTACTTGCCACATGGAGTTTTCTACACAGCTCTTATGGAGATATAATTTACATGTCATAAACCTCATCCGTTTTAAGTGTACAGTTCATTATACGGTTGATTCTTGAACAACACAGGTTTGAACTGTGCGGGTCTTTTAAATGCTGATTTTTTCCAGCCAAACTCAGATGGAAAATTACTTGTATCCTCAGGATGTGAAACCTGAGAAAACAGAGGGCCATTTTTTTGTGTATGTGAGTTCTACGGGGCCGACTGCAGGACTTGAGTATTCACAGATTTGGGTATATGCAGGTGGGAAAGGTCCTAGAACCAAACCCCGGCATACGCCAGGGGATGAGTGTGTATTGACAGTGAGCACGTTTGTATTTACAGAGTTGCACAACCATCATGACAATCTAATTTTACAATATTTCGCTCACACTAAGAAGAAACCTCATGCCCATTTATAGTCACTTCCCACTCCCACTCCTAGCTCTAGGCAACCACTAATCTACTCTGTCTCCATAGATTTGCCTTTTTTGGACACTTCTAATGAATGGAATTCTAACGTATGTGCCCTTTTATATCTGGCATCTTTTACTGAGCATAGTGTCATGTATCAGTATTTAAAAATTTTTAGTCTGGCTGTGGTGGTTCATGTCTATAATATCCCAGCACTTTGGGAGGCAGAGGCGGGCGCATCACCTGAGGTAAGGAGTCCAAGATCAGTCTGGCCAACATGGCAAACCCCCGTCTCTACTAAAAATACGAAAGTTAGCCAGGCGTGGTGGTGCATGCCTGTAATCCCAGCCACTTAGGAGGCTGAGGCAGGAGAGTCACTTGAACCCAGGAGGCAGAGATTGCAGTGAGCTGAGATGGCACCACTGCACTCCAGCCTGGGCAACACAGCAAGACTCTGTCTCAAAAAAAAAAAAATAGAAATTTTTATATATGTTTAATTGTGGTGAAAGGCACCTAACAGAATTTACGATCTTAGCCATTTTTAAGTGTATAGTGCAGTAGTTTTAAGTAGAGGGACACTGTTGTGCAGCCCATCTGCAGAGCTCCTGCCATTTTATTTCCAAAGTCTCTCCCACCTCATTGCATTGCCAGACTGAGCTTGCTCATATGTCTTTTTATCACATAAACAACATATTCTAGGACTAGGTCTTCTTATATGTTCACATATTATTGAATTTTACGTTCGAGAACATAGTTAAGACCTTGATGTCTATTTCAAGAAACACGAGAGGCTTAAGGGAAAATTCAAAGTCACTGCTCATGTTTCTGTTTCCTTTGTCTCCCTTCCAAGCAGCTCAGTCTGCAGTGATGACGGAGAAGGAATTGCATCAGCTGAAGAGAGCCAGTTATGCCAGTACAGATCAGCCATCCTGGATGGAACTTGCCAGAAAGAAATCTCAAGCTTGGAGTGACATGCCCCAGATTATAAAATAGGTGGGCAGTGTGCTGACAAAGCATGTCCACTACCCTGACAAGCCACTTAGTTAAAAACTGCCAGTATATCATGGCAAACAAACTGTGAAACTTAAAGATTGATTTCATCATCAAGTTATGATGAGCTCGGGGAAGAGGAAGGAACCAGGCAAAACAAAGAGGATAAACACACAGCCATACTCCTGGGCCAGAGGGCCCAGAAACAAGAGCAACGCTGAAAAAGTCCAGAAACCAGTTCCTGTGCCCAAAGGTACTAATGTGTCTTTTAGAATTCCCTTGATAAAGAAGCCTCAGACAAGGAAGAAAATGAAATTGGACACATAAATAGGACACCCTGCAAAGGCCAGAAGAGAAGCCCTTCTAGGAGAAGGGACGGCTGTGCTTCCAGCTGAGATCAGCCCTTGTCTCTGGTCACTGTCTTGCCTGTGGATCCTGTCTTCTTTCCTGTTTTCTTCGAGGCATGACATTCATGGTAAAACAGGGATGCCGTTTCCAAGAGCAGCTATAAAACAATCTGTTTTCCTAAAGGCAGCCACTCTGAGAAGGAGATGAAGGAACATGGCAGGGTTCATCAATTCACAGACTGTTTCCAGAATAATTTTTAAACTTTTCCACTAGGCATCTGTGTCTTTAACCACTGCACAATGCATTGCCTGTTTAATAAAAGGTTTCAAACATGCCTCTGTTTTAAGTGTAAATGTTATTTCTACTCAGGTTTAGAGAACATCCTTCAGCACTCAGTTAAATGCAGCAAATAGGGTTTTGCTTCATACCTACCTCATTTAAAATTCTGAATTGGGTTAATTGTGGAGTTTGAGATTTTGAGGGTTTTTTATCCCCCAGTGAGAATTTTGGAAGACAGACGGTAATGTAGGGTTTTTAACTCTGTTCATCTATTTAGTACAACATGCTAAAAATATAAAATTTCCTAAGAAGTTATCATTCTTTAGCATCTAATCAATTGAACCTGCACATTTCTGTTGAAAGCTGGGTTGCCAGTGTATCAGCCAGTATGACCCATGAATGCAGAATGTGGAAAAAACAAGGAGAAGGAAAACATATTTGAAATCTCAGAATTGTCTTGGTTACATAATGCCTCTTTAGTGTTTAAAACAGTTCCAATTTGTTCCTTTGAATAAGCTGATCTCCCTGGGAATACATATAGCTGGGGACATTTAGCCTTCAGAATCAGTACAACTTCATGACATACTATAATTTGATTTTATATACCCTAGGGTCTTGCTACTTTTATTGTATTTTCTATTTTCATGAATATTATTTTTTTACCTATTAGTACTATACAAGTTGATTGAGCCTACCTTTATTGAGAAAGTCCTGGGTCAGTTTTTTTTTTTCTCCCAACTAAATTGATTTACTAATTGCATTCTCTTAGAGAATGTCAATACCGAATTCCATGGTGAACATGCTATAGCACAAGAACTCCATCCATTTAGCCTTGCTCCCAAAGCTGAGGCGTCTGTGAGTCATTTTAACTGGCAAAAATCATGTTGGCTCTGATTACCCCAAAACCATTGTTTCTCCTATTAGCATATGATTTCAGATGAACCATTTCGAGGCAGCAGATTACACTGTAAGATCGAAAGTATTTGGTTTGGTTTTGTTCAAGCAGATGCTGATATTCTGTGTGTATTTGAGGACTTGGTTTAATTCTCTCTGATGCCTGGTGAGTTAGAAGGGTGCCATTTTTAGGAGACTGGGAGAATTCACTGTGGGGTGGCCCTGCAGTTGCCACCTTCAGCATGGAGATGGTGACCCTTCTGTCATAACCAGCTGAGATGTTGGCTGAAATTTAGCGATGTTGGGAAGTTCAGAGTAGCAGCAGAGATGGTAAAAGCCTACAAGCAATTACCAGCTTTGGTTCTCCTAAAAATAAAGATGAGGGGTGGTCAATTACTGAGCCAGCCACTGCTCTGTATTTCATATGTAATTTAGAATCCTCTGCACGGTCCTTTGAGGGTAAGTACTTATATCCACTTTGCAGGTGACGAAACTGAGGCACATTGAGGTTAAGATCCCATAGCAGGTATGCACCTGGAAAGTGACTCCAAGGCCCACGATTTTAAACACTATCCTTGAATAATAGCCCATTTTTATATTTTATTTATTTTATTTTATTGGCAGGGTCTTGCTCTGTCTCCCAGGCTGGGGTGCAGTGGCATAATCTCAGTTTACTGCAGCCTTGAGCTTCTAGGCTCAAGCAATCCTCCCATCTCAGCCTTCCAAGTAGCTGGGACAACAGATGTGCACCACCACACCTGGCTAATCTTCTATTTTTTCGTAGAGACAGGGTCTCACTATGTTGCCTAGGTTGGTCTTAAACTCCTGGGTTCAAGCAATTCTCCTGCCTCAGCCCCCCAGAGTGTGGGATTACAAGCATTAACCACTGCACCCAGCCAACATCCCCATTTTTAAAAAGCATTGGTTCAGCGAATCACAAGGTCAAGAGTTTGAGACCAACCTGGCCAACATGGTGAAACTCCATCTCTACTAAAAATACAAAAAAATTAGCTGGGTTTGGTGGGCGCCTGTAATCCCAGCTACTCGGGAGGCTGAGGCAGAAGAATTGCTTGAACTCGGGAGGCGGAGGTTGCAGTGAGCCGAGATCGCACCACTGCACTCCAGCTTAGGAGACAGAGTGACACCCTGTCTCAGAAAAACATAAAAAATAAATAAAAAGCACTGGTGCAGAGGTGAATCTGTGGCCTCAAAGACAACACAGGCATGGAAGCACTGAACTTGACCTTGGGGGCTACTGTGTTTTAGGGACACCCTCATCCTTCAATTCCTTAGACAGACTGGAAAAAGGGAGAGGAGCATTTATAATTTTTAATTGTGAGCACCTGCCTCAATTATGTGGCGTTTTCATTCATTCCTTCACCTCATTCAGGTGACGCTTCAGTGCCTGCATTCTATGAGGGCTTAGGGACAGCTGATGAACAAACAAGTAACAGGCTAACCTTGTACCACATCTGTTTCATTGGTGGGGGGACACAATGAATAAATATAAAATATACCAAAAAACCCTAAGTAAAAATAGCAATAAGTTCAATGATGAGCCTAGAATAGAAGGTCTTGGTAATGGCAGAACTATGTGAGATTGGGTGGTTAGCGAAAGGTTTGCCGGAGGTGATCTAATTATAAAAATGATCATGGTGGCCTTGTCTAAAGTAATGCTGGAGGTGGAGAGAAGCAGATGGATTCAAACCACAATTTAAAGGTAGCATCAGGTCGGGTGCGGTGGCTGTAATCCCAACAGTTTGAGAGGCTGAGGTGGCTGAATCACGTGAGGTCAGAAGTTCCAGACCAGTCTGACCGACATGGTAAAACCCCATCGCTACTAAAAATACAAAAAAAAAAAAAAAATTAGCCAGATGTGGTGGCACATGCCTATAATCCCAGCTACTCAGAAAGCTGAGGCAGGAGAATCACTTGAACCTGGGAGGCAGAGGTTGCAGTGAACTGAGATCACACTACTGCACTCCAGCCTGGACAACAGAATGAGACTCCATCTCAAAAATAATAGCAATAGGCCAGGCGCAGTGGCTCAAGCCTGTAATCCCAGCGTGGTCACGAGGTCGAGGTCAAGAGATGGAGACCATCCTGGCCAACATGAAACCCTGTCTGTACTAAAAATGCAAAACTCAGCTGGGCTTGGTGGCGCACACCTGTAATCTCAGCTACTCGGGAGGCTGAGACAGGAGAATCACTTGAACCCAGGAGGCGGAGGTTGCAGTGAGCCAAGATTGCACCACTGCACTCCAGCCTGGTGACAGAGCAAGACTCCATCTCTAATAATAATAATAATAATAAAGGTAGCATTAAATTCAACATGAGGTGGGTTTGATATGGTTGGTGTGAGAAGGAAAGGGTGGAGGTAGAGATTACACCTAGATTTTTGGTTGGAACTCCTGGGTGAGTCGTGGTAACAGAAATGGGCATGGAGGGTGAGATCCACAGAAAGTTTAGTTTGGATATCTTAAATCTGAGATTCCTACTAGACATCTAAGTGGAAATATCAAGTTATACAATTGCAGGTCATTAGCATTTGGAAAGGATAGGAATTCAGGGGTCTAGGCAAGGAAGAACAGGGTGCCAGAATTCATCCTAGGATACTCTGACACGAGGGATCTAGAGGTGTTGGAAGGGTCTGTGAAGGAAGAGGAAAACCAAGAGAGAGGCAGGGAAACATGTTAGAAAGAAGAGGGAAGAATCAGCTGTGTCAAGTGGGACCTGCTGAGAGTGGGACCCGCTGAGAGTGGGATCCGCTGAGAGTGAGACCCGCTGAGAGTGGGACCCGCTGAGAGTGGGATCTGCTGAGAGTGGGAGCCGCTGACAGTGAGACCTGCTGACAGTGGGATCCACTGAGAGTGGGACCTGCTGAGAGTGGGACACTCTGAGAGTGGGATCTGCTGAGCATGGGATCTGCTGAGCATGGGATCTGCTGAGCGTGGGATCTGCTGAGGGTGGGATCTGCTGAGAGTGGGTTCTGCTGAGAGTGGGATATGCTGAGAATGAGACCCTCTGAGAGTAGTGGGACCCGCTGAGAGTAAGACCTGCTGACAGTGGGATCTGCTGAGAGTGGGATCTGCTGAGAGTGAGACCCACTGAGAGTGAGACCTGCTGAGAGTGGGATCTGCAGGGAGTGGGATCTGCTGAGAGTGGGATCTGCTGAGAGTGAGATCTACTGAGAGTGGGATCTGCTGACAGTGGGACCCACTGAGAGTGAGACCCGCTGAGAGTGGAACCCGCTGAGAGTGAGACCTGCTGAAAGTGAGATCTGCAGGGAGGGGGATATGCTGAGAGTGGGATCTACTGAGAGTGAGACCTGCTGAGAGTGGGATCTGTTGAGAGTGGGACCCACTGAGAGTGGGATCTACAGGGAGTGGGATCTGGTGAGAGTGGGATCTGCTGAGAGTGGGACCCACTGAGAGTGGGACCCACTGAGAGTGGGATCTGCTGAGAGATCCAGCCAGATGAGAACAAGAGTGGCCATTGACTTGGGAACACAAAAGTCATAGGTGATTTGACAAAAGCCCTTTCTGTGGAATGGTGAGGGTGGAAGTACAGGTAGAGTAGGTCAAAGCCGGCCAGCCTACAGTTACATCAGCTATAATCAACTTCCGAGAAATTTTACTAGTACATGAATGGGAGCAGAGAAATGTCAGTAGCTAGGGGCAGGGGGCAAGAGAAGCTTTTCCTATTTGTTTGATACAAGAGCAGGTTTACATGTGGATAGCAATAGACTTGTAGGAGAGAAGGGAAAATTGCTAAAGCAGGTCTTTCTGAAGCACACCTCTCTGTCCAGAGATTCAGACAAGGAGGAAGCACCCACACTTGTGGGCTGCTTTTGATGTTCCTGGAAACAGGAGCCCCACATTTTGATCCAGCTGATAAAGTGGGGGCCGCTGTAATAACAACATGGTCATGTGTTTGCCCTGGCTAAATGTGGACACTGGCCTGTTTTCCTTACCGTGGCTGGAGTGTTAGTGCTGAACTTTGGTATTCAGGGAGAAGGGTGTATGAAGTTATTTGGGCATACAGCGCTCTGAAAACCCGTATATATAATTGATACCCCAGGAGTCTCCTCTCCACTGAAGAGCCAGGTAAAATCTATGTGGATGCCAGCAAATTCTATGCTTGGGAAATCCACAGCTTTCCCCGATTCCTGGGTCTTCTGTTTCTACTGTCTCCTTTGCATTTGGGACCTGTGCATTCTTGGAGGTTTTGTTGTCTTTCCCTAGGACTTGGCCCCTTCAGCAGTCAGCAGAAGAACTCTGTGCACACCTGCATTCTGTGTCTTGGTCAAACCCACTAAATAATTGGGACTGGGTCACAAGGAGGAGACGCATCCTGAGAGATATGGCCCTCCCTAGCTTCCTAGTCCCACAGCTCTACCTCACCCAGCAGGACAAATTTCCCTGGGTTGTCTTAAGCACATCAGGCCTGCCTTGGGCTCTCCCTTGTACACCACTCCATGCAGCTTAACAGAGAATGTCTTCAGAACAAATGGAGTCCTCCCACTGAGGGGAATGTGATGAGTAAAATATTCTGCACCTCATTCAAAGCTATGCTTTGATGAGTGCTTAAAACCAGCAGCAACAGGATCTGTGGTTTTTGTGACTCCATCCATCCTGAGTCGCCACATTTCTCAAAAAAAAAAATTCATCTTATAGGAATAGCAATGAAAACGGCCCTGAAGAGAGTCCTTCTCCATACTCCATCCAGGTTTGAATGGGCCTCTTCCTAAGGCCACCACCATTTCTGACTCGGGTGAGGCTGCCCACCTGAGGACATCCCAGGCTTCCTTGTACACACTGCGGAGTGGATGCTCATCTATTTCATAGGCAGAGAGTCATTGAGAAGACGAAAAAACATGGAGCAAATAGAGGTACCCCTGACATTTTAAGAAAAATGTAGCCAGTGAGGTGGACTCTAGATTTGTGTCAATGGTAAATGGAAAACTGAGGAAGAAAAAAATTCAAAGACAGCAATTATTATATTAACTTCTAGGGGACAATGACAGGAAAATATTTCTATAGAGGTGGTTTGAAATTGAAAGATTTTAGGCATTTCAAAATGTCCACAAAACTCTGTGGTAGTCCTCTCTTCAACGTGTGAAGCTTAATTCCCCTTCCCTTGAGTGTGGGGCAGACAGAGTGCTGACTTCTGACTACAGAACATTTAGCAGATGAGAAGATGTGTGCTATTTGAAACTAGGCCATGAAAGAGACCCTGTGTTTGTCTTGCAGGTTCTTGAACCATTCACTCTGAAGGAGGTCAGTCCCTATATCTCAAGGACACTCAGGCAGCCTGTGGAGATGCCCACATGACTCCTTCCCATGGCCAGCTGAGGCCTCCTACTAGCCAAGTGGATGAACCGCCTTGGAATGGGCCCCGCCAGCCCCTGTCAAGCCTTCAGAGGCCTGTAGCCCAGTTGACACACTGACTACGACGTCACAAGAAATCCCAGGCCGGACTGCCCGGTGGGGCTGCTCCCAAAACTTGACCCACTGAAACTGCATGTGTTATTAAGTCAGTACTTTTTGGGATAAATTGTTACACAGAAACAGGTTTTTCATATTATTTTTCTGGATCTTGAAATGAAAAATTCCTACTTGTTTCAAAGTTAGTATTTTAGCTGAAGTTAAGAATATAAGAGTAAGCACAGTATGAGAAAATGTTATTTAACACCCTGAACTGCAGGCTGTCTCAGGCTGTGCAGCAGAGATAGCTGGAGGCATACCTCAAACTCCTGTGGTCCCCTCGCATGGTATGGAGCTGTTCTGGAAGCGGATGCCCAGGCTCAGCTCCCTCCCACCCAACACACACATCTGCCTAGGGCTGCGGCCCTGCAATCACATTCTGGCTCGAGGAACGTAGGCGGAAGTGATGTGCACCCACCATACAAATCCTTCCCTTCTAGGGAGGGTTCATGTAAGGATAACCAGGATGGCAGGCAAGAAAGTCTCCTGTGGGTGAGCCTTCACAGAAGGGAGGGGCTTAGCTCAGAGAGACCCAGGGGAGGAAGGAGAGTCTCAACAGCAGCTGTTGGAAGGAAAGAGGAAGAGAAAATAGACTCATTCTGTGTAACGTCACAGGGAACAAACCAGGACCGTAAGTGAATGTTCGAGAGGACAAATCAAGAAATGTTTTAACTATGAAAGCTCATCAGTATGGGACAGGATGCCCGGTCAGGAGTGAGCTCCCTGGCACCTGAGGGAGGACCCCACCCCTCTGGTATATGGATCCTCGACCTTGGAGGAAGTCTGAACGGAGCGGCCTCCCCAGCCTGGAGTCACTCTGCCTCTAGAACTACAACAGGTACTATCTAAGGCAGGGGCACCTTACATAGTGCTCTTATTACTATTTATTATCAAGAAGTCATCATCCAGGAAGTCCTCCAAGGAGGCTTTTATGTAGAATGTCATTGTACAGAATGCTTTGACAGCTTTTTATTCAAGGCTGCCCACAAGGCAGCCCTGCAGAACCAGCCAGTCAGAAGACAGCCCTTCCAGGCCCTGTACACATCTGCTTCCCCAACCCCACCCCTGAGCCCTGAGCCCTTCAGTTGGTTCTGTTGAACTACTGTGTGGAGGGAAATATTGATCCCTTGATCAATGGAAATAATCTCTAATGAACAGGCATTTGGGGATCAAATAACAGAAATAATGCATGGTGAACACATGCGTGTTTGTTTACAGCACAGGTGTGGTTGACATTTGCCTTCTCTGCATTGCCAACTTCCTTCCTGCCTTCTCTATTGGGAAATTATCCTTATTAGCATAGAAAGAAAAAAGTGTGTGTGTGACGCCCAGAAGATGACTAGAAACAGCAGCGGCCAGGCTGCTGGTTAGGGTGTGCCCCAGGAGCCCAGCCTCTCCGGAGAGCACCCTAAAGGTGTGCAGGCAGGCCAGAGGCTCCAACCTGCAGGCCTCGTAACCTGAGTGGTCCTCCCTGCAAAGTGCCCAGTTTGACAGCTGCTATTCCACTTACAGAAAAACTGAAATTCAACATCGAGCTCACGATCCGGTAAGAACATGTTTGCTCCTGAAAGATTTCCCATGGGAATAAGAATTGTGCTGTCAAACTTAGGATAATGCAAAATCGCTGCAGAGATAAAGGAAACTAGAAGCAAATCACGAGGGAGTCCTTTTGACAAAATGAACCCAATCTTTCAGGAGCAGAAGTCTTTAGATTTAGATTCTCCATCTCTCCCAAGGAGCGGGTGGAGGGATTGTTTTCATCACCACCCATCTCTGCCGCTCCACTTACCATCTCATCTGTAAGGATTAGGTGCTTCCACCAGAGGGGCTGCCCAGGCTCCTCTGAGGCAAAGCAGGAGGCAGCAGTTAGATGCCTGCTGTGATGCTGGGTGTAGGGCAGCCCGCTGGAGCCTCGGCCTCAAATTGCCCCGTCCTCTCAGGGCATTGTCCACCAGTGGCACTGAAATGAGGAGTTTACAAAGGATATAGGGCTGGGCACTGAATTCACAGTGGCCAACATAAAAGCCAGCTTTCCTGGTGCTGGCTGGAGACAGATATGTCCTGGATCAATGGGGACCCTAAATGTGACTGCAGGGGGCCTGGGTCCCAGCTGCTGCTGTCCTTACAGGCTACAGTTCCATGTAAACACTGGACACCTGGACTGGCCATAGCAGGGTTTCAGAGCTCTCTTCTCTCTATGATCTCTTCCCATGGGACACTGGGCTTCAGAGCTATACTATAGGCTAAATTGTGTCCCTCAAAATTCCTAGGTGGAAGTCCTAAACCTGGTGCCGCAGCATTGGCTGTATTTGGAGACAGGGTCTTTATAGAGTTAATCAAAGTAAAATGAAGTCATCAGTGTGGGCCCTAATCCAATATGACTGGTGTACCAAGAAGGAAAGGAGATTAGGACACAGACACACACTGAGGGAAGACCATATGAAGACAGAGAGGGGGTGGTTGTCTACAAGCCAAGGAAAGAGGCCTCAGAAGAAACTAACCCTGCTGACACCTTAATTTTTTACTTTCAGCCTCTAGAATTATGAAAAATATAAATTCTCTTTTTTAAGCTGCCCAGTCTGGGGTACTTTGTTATGGCAGTCCTGATAAACTAACATACAAGTCTAGCATGCTCCACATTTAAGATTGAGGTTGCTTCTCTGGGTCTGGGCTAGGAGAGGTGACCTCTTGAGCCCCACCAACACTGAGCTTTTATGAGCAGCCACAAATAAGGCCATTTATTTTCTTGAACAAAAGCTTTGATACTTCTGGCAGACAGTTTTTTATTAAGAAAAAGAGTCTAGGCATGGTGGCTCATGCCTGTAATCCCAGCACTTTGGGAGGCTGAGGCAGGCAGATCACTTGAGACCCAGGAGTTCCAGACCAGCCTGGCCAACATGGCAAAACCTTGTCTCTACCAAAAATACAAAAATTAGCCAGCGTGGTGGTGTGCAACTATAATCCCAGCTACTTGGGAGAGTGAGGCACGAGAATCACTTGAACCTGGGAGGTGGGGGTTGCAGTGGGCTGAGATCACGCCAGTGTACCCCAGCCTGGGTGACAGGGCGAGACTCTGTTAGAGAAAGAAGGAAAGAAAGACAAGAAAGAAAGAGAGAAAGAGACAGAGAGAGAGAGAGAGACAGAAAGAAAGAGAGAGAGAGAGAGAAAGAGAGAGGAAGGAAGGAAGGAAGGGAGGGAGGGAGGGAGGGAGGGAGGGAGGGAAGGAAGGAAGAAGGAAGGAAGGAAGGAAGGAAGGAAGGAAGGAAGGAAGGAGGGGAAGGGAGGGAGGGTAGGAAGGAACAAAGGAGACAAGGAAGGAAGGGAAAGAAAAGAGAGAATGAGAGAGAGGGAGGAAGGAAGGAAAGAAGGAAGGAAGGAAGGAGAGAGGAAAGAAGGAAAGAAAGAAAGAGAATAATCTGCCGTTTTTAGTTCTCTTCTCTCTCCCTAGTTTCCAACACCCATGATCTCTGTGCCCCTCCCTCCTTCTCAGGACATTGCTTTGATTCAGTCTGCAGAAGGCTGTAGTCTTCATTTGCAAGGCACTCACCAGCCCTGGCAGTGCCATCTTTTACTTTGCACCCCATCAGTTGTTAATACGGTGGTGCATTGCGTACAGAGTATAGGTCTAGCTAATGTCTATTGAATGAATAAATAAACAAGGTAGTCAGCTATATGGATGTTTCCATGCAGGGTTTCTTAGTAAGAGTGGAAGGGCAGCAGAGATGGAAAGAAGGAGACAGGCAAAAGAAAAGAGGGATTTTTTTCAAACTATCCAAACCTGCTCTTCTCTGCTACATATCAGACCAAAACTACCTGGTATATGGAATATTGCCTTTACATGGGCATTCTGTGGCCCCAAATATGGCAAATATTCTTGGCTAATTAATGTTCCATGTTCACTTGAGAAATGCTGTTGTTGGGTGGAAAGTCCTAGAAATGCTAATCAGACCAAATTGATTGATCATGTTGTTTGGGTCATTTATATCCTTACTGATTTTTCTGCCTGCTTGTTCCATTATTTATTGAAAGAGGAGTGTTGAACTCTCAAACTATAATTGTGGGTTTCTCTGTTTCTCCTTTCAAATCTATTAGTTTTTGTCTAATGTGTTTTAAAGCATCTGTGGTTAGGTGCAAACACATAGAGAACTGTTATGTCTTCTTGGAGAACTGAGCCCTTTGTTACTATAATCTCTCCATTCCTGATTATCTTCCTTGTTCTGAAGTTTACTTTAAAATAAATATAGCTACTACAGCTTTCTTTTGGCTAGTGTTTGCATAGTGTACATTTTTCCATTCATTTACTTTTTTTTTTTTTATTGTAAAGATAGGGTTTTGCCATGTTGGCCAGGCCGGTCTCAAACTCCTGGCCTCAAGCAATCTATCTGCCTTGGCCTCCAAAGTGCTGGGATTATAGGCATGAGCCACCACATTCGGCCTCCATCCATTTACTTTTACTCTATGTATGTCTTATTTTTAAAGTGGGTTTATTGTAGACAGCATGTAGTTGAGGCCTGCTTTTTTTTATTCAATCATAGTCTTTTAATTGGTGTTTTTAGACCATTCATATCTTAAATGGTTATTGATATGATTAGATTTAATTTACCATGTTATTGGCTGTTTTCTATTTGTTCTTTATTTTTTTCCCCTCATTTACAGCCTTCTCTGGGTTTATTTTTCTATTATTTTATTTTATTTTGAGAGTGTCTCATTCTGTCACCCGACCTGGAATACAGTAGCTCACTCACAGCTCACTGTAGCCTCAACCTCCTAGGCTCAAGCAATCCTCCCACCTTAGCCTCCCAAGCTGCCTCCCAAGCAATCCTCTCACCTCAGCCTCCCAAGCTATAGGCATGTGCCATCATGGCTGGCTAATTTTTTTTTTCATAAGTAGAGTCTTCCTATGTTGCCCAGACTGGAAATATTTTTTATGATTCAATTTTACCCCTTCTATTAATATATCAACATATCAAAATATCAATATTGAGTATCTCCTCTATTAAAGTATTTTTATGACTCAGTTTTATCTCATTTATACTTTATAAACAGTTTTAGTTGTTGCTCTAGGGTTTGAAATATACATTTCAAAATAATCTTAGTATGCCTTCAAATAACGTTATGCAACTCCAGTTATTGTAAGGATTTTATAACAATATATTGTCAATTATTCCCTCCCACTTCTTGTGCCATGTTTGTCATACATTTCACTTTTTCATATGTTATAAACACATATTCTATTGTTACTATGTTTGCTTTTAACAGTTATCTTTTAGAGCAAATATAAATAAAGAAAAAATATTTTACTTCACTTTTATTCATTTTGTTTCTGGTGCTCTTTTGACCTTTATCATATTCCTTCTCCCTGAAGATCTACCTTTCATATTTATGGTAGAGTAGTGGCAATGAATTTTCTCAATCTCTGTCTGCCTGAGAAAGTTTTTACTTCTCATACCTTTTAAAGGATACTCTAAGTAGGTATAGAATTTGGATCGCCAGTCTTTTTTTTTTCCATTTAATACTTTAAAGATGTTAATCCATTGTCTTCTGGCTTGCATGCTTTCTGACAGAAGTCTGTTGTAATTCTTATCCTTAGTCCTCAGTAGACAGCATGTTTATTTTCTCTGACCCCCGTCAAGAGTTTCTCTTTGTCTTTGATTTATAGCAATTTGCATATGGTATGTCTAGATATGTTTGTTTCTTTGTTTTTGGTGTTTATCCTCCTGGTGTGCTCTGGCATTCTTAGCTCTTTGGTTCTGTGTCTGTAGCTATTTTTTTCTTTTTTTTAATTATACATTTCAGACTGTCAAAAATTGCCAACACTGTATAGACTGTCAAAAATTGCCAATGCTGACTATATTTCAAGTCATCATGTTGGAGTATTGGGAAAAGTTTTCAATTAGCAGTAATTACACCTCAGATAAGCCTTAATTGGCTTTGATACTGCCATTTCATAAAGCTCTGTCACTAATTTTTAAAAGTTCTCAGCCATTATTTTTCTCAGATATGTTTTCTGCTCAATTTTCTCTTTCTTCTCCTTCTGGAATTCTAAGGTTAGACTGTCTGGTATTTCTGATATGTCCTACAGTTCTTGGATTATCTGTACTGTCTTGAGTATTTTTCACTTTTTTCTCTTTCCATTTAATTTTGGGTGATATCTTTAAGTTTACTGATTCTTTACTCAGCTTTATCAGTTATACTGATGGGCTCATCAAAAGCACATCTCATCTCCATTACTGTGTTTTGTTTCTAGTATTTCCATTTTATTCTTTGTAGTGGTTTCTAGTTCTCTGCTGAAATTACCTATCTGGTCTTGCATGCTGTCTACCTTTTACTTTAGGTCCTTTAACATATCAATCATAATTAATGGCTGATAGCTCCAACATCTATGTCATATGTGAGTCTGATTCAAATGGTTGCTTCATCTCTTCAGACTGAGTTTTTCATGTTTTTTTGTAGGACACATTTTTTGTTGTTATTCATAGCTGAAAATATTAAATAGAACAACATGGTGAATATTCCAGTTCCAGGATCAAATGCATGTGACTAGAGACAACTTAGGAATGAAAAGAAGTTATGTGGTGGTTTTTGTAACCTAGAGTTCAAGTCTACAGTGGTTTGGAAATAGGCTTTGAAAAGTGGGCAGTTTAGACTTTCCCCCCACTTTAATTTTTTTACATCAAGTTAAGGCATACATATGGTGTTTTGTTTTGTTTTTTAAATCATAGTCTATAACAAAGGTCAGCAAATTTTTTCTTAAAAGGCCAAATGACAAATATTTTAGGCTATGTGATCTTTGTCACAACTACTCAGCTCTATCATTATCAATACAAAGTTGTCCATTCATAGTATAAATGAGCATGACTGTGTTCCAATAAAACTTTATTTACAAAAAGAGGCAGTCAGCACATGGGCCACAGTTAACTGATTTCTGAGCAATATTAAATGACCAAAGCCTTGCTCTCCATGAGGCAGTCCCACTCTCCAGAATAACCACATTTAACTATTTTCTGTATTCTTTGGGTGGATGCACATATAATAGAGATAATATATAGATAATATATGCTTATAACTCTATTTCTTAATATATTAATCTATTGAGACCCCCCCTCATCCAACCATGAAACATGAGAAAATTTCCTCCCAGCACTTTGGGAGGCTGAGGCAGGCAGATCACTTGAGGTCAGGAGTTCAAGATCAGCCTGGCCAACATAGGGAAACCCCACCTCCAGTAAAAATACAAAAATTAGCCGGGCATGGTGTCTAGTGCCTGTAATTCCCAGATACTTGGGAGGCTGAAGCAGGAGAATCACTTGAACCTGGGAGGTAGGGGTTGCAGTGAGCCAATATCATGCCACAATACTCTAGCCTAGGCAACAAAGCAAGACTCCATCTCAAAAAATTAAAAATTTAAAAAAAATTTTAAAGAAAATCTCCTGTCTTACATTACCTCTTTGTTCTGTGGTGAGCAGGTATATGTAAGCCCACCCCTAGAGTCCAAAAGAGCTGAGAGGTAGAAGAAAGAGGCTAACAAATGCAGTTTCTCAGAAAGAAACATTTAAGCTGGACATGGTGGCTCATGCCTGTAATCCCAGCACTTTGGGGGACCGAGGCAGAGAGATTCCTTGAGCCCAAGAGTTTGAGACCAGCCTGGGCAACATAGTGAGACTCTGTCTCTACAAAAAATATATAAAAATTAGCATGCCTGTAGTCCCAGCTACTTGGAAGACGGATGTGGATCGCTTGAGCCTGGGAGGCGGAGGCTGCAGTGAGCCATGACTGTGCCACTATGCTCTAGCCTGAACAACAGAGCCACATCTTGTCTCAAAAAAAA